GTCTGCTCACGGAGACTGGCTCTGGCGGGCCAGAGTGCCACCCTGGAGCAAGCGAGGCCATCTCCAGTCATTGCTCCCTGCCCTTCCCTGGCTGCTCACCCGAATCCGCCTCCATCACCTGACGTTTCATGTCCCTGCCTGGCTATTCTGCTCTACAGAGCTAAACTCCCTGTGCCATGTGTGTGTGCAGAGAGTACCCACTTCTGAAGAGTCCAGCTAACTCTGTTACAAGCTTTAATAATAACAAATTATGAGGAGAAACAGGAGGATGCTCTGCTTTTATATTTATATAAATATGTACGTGTGTATTTATATACATATAAAACAAAAGTTCTGTACCCTAATACCTGGATTTTCCAGGTTCAGGGAAAGAAAACTTTGTTGAAACAGTCTCAGCAAAATGGACCTTTTTTCTCATTCCCTGATTTTAAAGAAAGTGAGGAAGGTTTGTGGTGCCGGATGTGAACTATTTTTTTATTCTTTTTCTTACCCATCTTGGCTTACGGTGGTCACAAGCTGACCAGGATTCTTCTTTATACTGCTTTTGTTAATTTTTGTTTTCCAAGTATTTTGTCACCTCAGATGCTTTGTGGGAAAAGCTAATGTGCTGTGTTGGCTTTTTTTCCTGTTGTGACAGGAAAAAAAGAAAAATGTGAACATGGAGCTTCATATGCTAGAGATGGTAACTTTTCCTTGCTGGGTAGTATGTGCACCTCAGTGCTGAACTGGAATTACCAGATCATTGCCTCAGAGTGTCCAAGGGAACACGGAGTTGCATTTGCTATAGCAGTATGCTTCCTAAAACTATCTCTGTTCCAATGTTGACTGAACTTTGTTCATGTGCATTAGTCTATTTTTAAATTTAAATTTATTCTTAATAATTTAAACCGATATTTAATGTTCAGGTTTATGTGCTGTGCACAGAGGACTGCTGCAAAGCAGCTCTCCTTGAAGCCCTTCTCTTTTCTAGAATAAACAACGCTGTGAAACTTCACACAGTACCTGAATTGGCTTGGACTGATGTGTGCGAACACGCACAGGTGTGTGTCTATGGTTATATACGCAGCAGCCCTCATTCTCTCCTCCAGCTAAGCTGTGCTCGGTATCAGCTTTTTGCTGCCTGTACACTTATCCTCGTGTTAGAAGTAAAGTCTTGTATATTTCTGCTAGCAGCACGCTGCGAGGAGAGTCCACAGGCAGGGGATATCCTGGCGGATGCAGAAACGCTCTGGCCAGGCCTTTTTCCCTGGAAGTGACTTCTATCCTGAAAGAAGGCAAGATGAGCACAAGGATGCTAAGGGCAACCTGGAGGGAGGGCTGGATTTTCTGGGGTCCCAGCTGATTTGTGCTGCTTCAACAAAATGTATTTTTAATGGTCAGTGTAATTGTA